GGTTTAACAGTAGTCATTTAATAATGATGGCATCATAGGGAATTTTTAAATTTTCTGCATTTTCTACAATAACATTTTTGTACTAAGGAAAAAATCAATACATGCTTTAAACATCCCTTCTTTATCATATTATCTACCTTCTAATTTCCTTTCTTTACTTCCTATCTATCCACTTACATTATTGCCACCAGAGTCTTCTTTATTCAGAAACAGAAGAGGACTCAAATCTCTCCCTCCTATCACACTAGAAACCACATCATCAGGAAAATCATACTGGCAACAATTTCTTTTCATTTTCAGAACTACTGTATGTCTTCATCGAGCTACTTCCTGCCTTCTTTCCTTCCTTCTTCCCTTCCTTCCCTTTTCAATTATTTATTCATTCCCCTATCCATTCGTTCATTTATACAGCAGGCATTTTTTACAACAGCCCCACTGTGGGCTGAGGATACAAATTGAACAAAATTAACTCCTCCAGAAAGAAGGAAGGAGAGACAGGGTCAAGTGGAGGACATGGATAGAAAGAAATGAACTAGAAAGGAGAGCACAGCGCATCAAATAGGAAATTTCAGGCCAAAGATATACGGACTAGGTTTGATTTTTATAAGGAAGGGAAGTCCAAAATCCTGCCAAATAGACCAAAAGCCCTAAGAAGCAGAAAGTGACCCAGTGAGATCTACAGATGGGTATCTGAACACGGCAGTGATTCTCAATCCCATCACCCCTACCGAGTTTCTCAGGGCAGCTTCATTTTCTGCCAGGCTCAGGCGCATCTGTGTGATAAGCCTGCGAGTATCCTGAACTCGGTTCTGATACTGACTCCCCAGGGCCTGAACCCTTTCCACAGTCTTCTTGAGGTCACCAAGGCGGTTCTGGTAGCTGTTCTCTTGGCTCCTTGCCTTGGCCAACTGGAGACTGAGGGATCTACTAGCATCTGGACACAAAGAAGGAAAAGGAGGTTGAGCACTTTCCGGGGCAGTGCAGAGTTATCTCACATGGTGGGGGTTGCCTGGATTGTGGCAAATGATGAAACCCACAGGTGAGTAAATGCATGCCACTGCTCTTTCATCTCCACCAGTCAGGTCCAGGGGACCGTCACAGACATTCCTTCCACCTGGGCAAGGGCTGCTGGATACCTCTGCTGAACTGATGTCCACAGAAAATTCTGGGACGTGGTGCAGCATTTCTGTCCAAGACATGACTGAAGGGAAGCTGGCTTTCCTCACCTTCTGAAATCTGGGCTTCTCTCAGAATGTCCTGAAGGGCCTGTTCAGCCTGCTGCAGCCTGCCTTCCAGCTCTGAATTGGGTATTAGGCCGCCACCACCCTGTGCTTTAGAAATCAGGGCCTCTAGGCCCTGAAGCTGCTCCATAAACTGAGCCATCTGAAAGAAAATCAGAACAAAGGATGAAGACCACAGCCCAATACCAGGTACCCAGGAGATAGGACCTGAAAGTCCAGAAATGCTTGATACATTATGGTGGTTGAAAGTTTACAGCCTGTGTGAATCCTGGCCGCACTACTCTTCCTGTGGGGTCGTGGGCAAGCTATTTCTTTATCTATGAAGTGGAGATAGTAAACATAATAATACTGTCTCATAGAGTTATGACTTACACTAAATGAGTTACTATTTGTAAAATGTTTAGAATAAAGCCTGGCACTGAGAAAGTACTATAAATCTTGCTAAATAGATAAATTTTTAAAAACGGGTTGAGTGTATTCTACATTTGAAATTACATTAGGATCTTTTTATCTCCTATCTCTCACTCCAAAAAAATAATAATAATGTCAACAACATCAAGTCCACTCTTCTCCGGACTATAAGTGAGAAATTTCTGGAAGTCATTCCTGCTTGGACAGCTTTGACCCCTTCTGGACTACACAAATCTTTGAGGTGTCTATGTTTTTCTGCATTTGTTTCACAAGGACATCTTCGGGGGAAAAAATTTTAGAAAGGGCATATTATAGTGGCAAGAGCCTGAACTCAGAAAGTCTAGGAGGCAGGGTGACCGCCCCAGTTTCGCCGGGCCATACCGCTTTAATTTCAAGGGCTTTATTTGACTAGTAAAAGCTGAGATCAAATATTTTTTCTTCCAATTCAACTAAATTATCATGAGGGCCAAACAAGATGTCTGCAAGAGGGGTCTGAGAATGGCATGTGTAGGAAGATAAATACTATTGTTAGTATAAGGAATCTTTTTGTACAAGAACTTTTAAAGAAAGAGACAGTAACCTCCCATCCCCAGGAGACAGGTGTAGGGGTGTCCTCACTCTGACAGAATCACCCAGGGGACACTTACAGATCTGAATCCGGGTGGGTGGGAGGTGGTAAGGAGAGGAAGGCCTACCTGAGTGTTCACTTGACCATAGCAAGCTGGACAGTTGGATAATGCTCCGTGCTCACAGTTGAGGCCACCAAATCCTGGCTTGCAAACACAGCTGCCATCACTTCGACACTCTCCAGACTGTGAACCCACAGGGTTGCAGTTGCAAGCTAGAGAAGAGAGAGAGAGAAATGGAGAATTCATATCCATCTCATCCCAGAAACTGGAGGTATAGCAAATAAAAGCAAGAAGAGCAAGTCACAGTGGCAAAACTCCTTCTTTGCCCTTGTCACTCACCCTGTGTCAGAGTCCTCCCTTGGCTATGCCTCCAGCACATTCCTAACAGGCCAGCCTCAGGACTCACCTACCTGTTTGTTTAGTGTATGTGGATGAAAAGGTATCACAATAGTTCATCTTTTTTTCTTTTCATTAAACTGTAAGCCTGGTGAATATTCTGCCGAGACACTCCAGCTTTGCTTACAAGGTGAACTGCATTTCTTTGGCCTATTGTGTACCAGATGTAAACATCTCCCTTGGTTTTACAGATAAGGAATGGGAGCTCAAAGAGGTTGAATAATTTGCCCAACCATCCTATGGGAAGTAAATGGGAAGCTGCAGTTGGAGTTGAGAAAGAATAAGGCTGTTTTCCTTCTGCTCTGTTGCCTTTGATGTAGGAAACTCAATAAGAAACCATTATCAATTCAATCAAATTTATTGTTTACTTAGTGTGTGTCAGGTTCTGTTTTAGGGAGTGAAAGATGTAACTGGGTGAGACACTGCTATAATGATTACAATGATTCTCTAGGTCGCTCTATCTTTGTGTTCACAAAACACTGATCTCCTGTGTAAGTGTACTGTCATAATCTGCATATTTGTATATCTTCCTTATTAGCATGTAAGTTCTTTGGGTGCTGGAACTGATTCATTCATCATTATAACTTTAGTATCTGGGTCCACACTATGTACATGGTAGGTGCTTCATAGATAGCTGGATGAAGAAATATATGTGCTAAGCCAGGCATGGTGGCACACACCGGTAACCCTAATACTCTAAGAGGGTGAGGCAGGAGAATAATGAGTCAGAGCCCAGCCTGAGCAACTCCAGGCCTTCATGAGATCTTATCTCAAAATAAAATATAAAAGGGCTGGGGATGTAGCTCCATGCAAAGGCCCTGGGTTCAATCCCCAGTGTGGCAAAAGAGAAAAGAAATAAATGGTCTAAAGCCAACAAAGTCTCTATTAATGACTTCTTATAGCTAGAAGTATGCAGAGTTTACAGTGTGGTTTCTTACGTTCCATTTTGTTTTATCTTTGCAATCATTTTGAGTTAAATATTTCACACCTGTGTGGAATCATTGGCATAATCAGCACAATTCAATAGGTACATTACAAAACTGGACTTGAGCTCAGTACTGAGAAAAGAGCGGAGTATGAGGACTGATCTGCACACTCACGCTTTGATCTGAAGCAGCCCTTAGGAAGGCTTTCTGATAGCTGCTGCTTTGAAGTAGGGTCTCCTTTGGAGAACTTTCAACATTATGTTCTATGCATCAATTAGACTCACTTCCTGAAAGGGTCTCTTAAGCTTCCTTATAGCCCACTCCCCTCCCTGTTTAAGTTTGCTTAGGCTTAGCCTGGAGTCATTTATTACTCTTCTACAACAGCTCTGGTGCCCACTCTCCTACCTACGTGCCTTGGGATTGGGCATGGGAGATCACTCCATTTTATCTCCTCTTCCACTTAGAAATGTAAACCTGACCTTTTGCACTTCTCCCACCCAGCTTTCACCATTTGAAAGCTTCCAGCCATGTCTTCCAGAGCCCTGTGCAGGGGAAACTGTCTTAAAGCCTTTGACAGGTGAAAGATGCAGGCTGTTCATAGGCTAGTTTAGCCAGAGAACTAAAGTTGCATCATGATATTAACTGCCCTTGCCTTTGCTTACACATGTACACATTAACAAGCTTATACACACACATACACACACCGATACAACTTGTCTGGGATGTACTCCTACCTTGACACTTGTTGGCTCGACTGGGAGCCAATGGGTCTCCAAAGTAGCCTGCTTTGCACTGGTCACAATTGAAACCCGCTGTGTTGTGGATACACTTCAAACACCTGCCTGTCAGCCCATCACAGTTCCCGGAGGCACTGGGGTCCACATTGTTGTTGCATTGACAGGGCTGACAAGGCCTCACTGGGCCACGTTCCCCAAAGGGGTCCCCAAAGTAGCCATCAGCACAGAGCTCACAGCGTGCACCTGGGAAGGAAAGGAGGAATAAATGGCCCGGCTGTCAACACTGGCAGCAAGACCAGACAAAAATGACTGAAATAGCCAGACACCCCCCCCAAAAGAGCCAGGGAAATGCGCTTTCCCCGGGACCTCAAAACAATACCCACAGGACCTGGTGAACGTGGCAGGAATTGGTGCTGTTACTCCATGGTCACTGCACGTTTTAGAGCACAGCACTCCACTAGGAGGCTTGACTAGCTTGTTGGGAAAAGACTGGCAGCAACACAGAAGTGGTGAGATTTTGAGCAATGGGCTGTTACTGAAGAATGAATTCTTCTTTTAGACCGACAGGCAGAGGGACGTGACATCTAAGAGGTCACTACGTTTTCCTTCTTTACTTTGAATCATTAAAAAAAACTTAATTTCTTTCCTTTCTTTCCATTCTTTTTCTTTGGAATGAGGCTTTTGTAGATAAAGAGGGGAGGGAGGTTGAAAGGAGGGGAGGGGAACTGGAAAGTAAAGAAGAAGCAAGATATATCATGTACAGGTACAAATTCCCTATGATGAACGTTATCATTATATATCTAAAGTGTACCAGTAAAACAAAAAGTAAAAACAAAAAAGGATATCATGTACAGGTACTAATTCCCTATGATGAATGTGATTGTTATGTATATCTAAACCGTACTGATAAAATTAATTTTAAAAAACAAGTTAAACTATGTATTTGATCAGGAAACTTCATCTCCTCATTGCAAACCTTCCAAAGCAGTGTTAAGCGTTTCTTCTTATAATTGTGCATTTCTCCTTGCTCAATCCACCTCACCCCTTTAGAAGGAGCACATTTGGATTAACCTGAAGTAATTATAATTTCCTAGAAATTCCTTGAGATGAGCGCTATTGACATGAATTCCAGGATCAGGACAGGAAGAAGTTGGCTGCAGAGCAGGCTGCTGGCCTTACCAGTGACCCCAGTGGGGCAGTTGTTGCATACCACCTCCTCTGTCTCTGGCATCACTGAGCAGCTGAACCCATTGTGACAGGGGCATGGCTTGCAGCTGCGGGGGTCGTGTGGATCATTGTAGAAACCAATGGGACAGTCGGCACACTCAATTTCAGGGTTTTCATCCCCTGAATAACAATCTCCTGGGAGGCAGAAGAAGAATGGAGGGGCAGAGAAATGACCAGGGTTAGACAATACACTTCCTTCAGGGAGGATGGTGTGTGGGGACCAGAGTGCAGAAACCTAAAGCCTCCCTTTCCGAAACTTTCTCCAGTTCTGAGCACCTTCATCCCTGCCTTGTACCAGTTCTGAAGACTATCTAGATCCTGAATCTCATCCTCCATCTTCTGTGAAGTAGACACACTCCTCCTTCACTATGCGCGAGTTAACACTGTTTGTTCCCCTATCCTCTGTGGCCAGACACCATTTCTTGCCCCATTCATTTTAGACCCTGACTTGCCTTTGATCTCCCCAAACAAATCTTGCAACTCGACACCAACCCCGCCCACCTTGCACTGAACCATAACAGTCATTTCCTGCAACCTAGCACCTTTCCCACAACCTTGTGGCATTTCCATAATGAGAAGGACTGAGTGTAATAAGGCACCGTGTCCATCTTCCCTGACTCCAGCCCTACTCTCCCTAATCCTTCCCATCTAGGAAATGAGTTCAAGCATGATATTTCTTACTCAAGTCTACCTTTCCACAGGTGACCCTGGTCACCTGCCTGCACCCCAGCCACCTGGTCCAGGTGTCATTTCACTTACCTGTGTCTGGATCACAGGCCCCTCCCCCTTGGCAGTTACATGGAATACAAGTGCCAAAAGGCCCCAGTCTTGCTGAATCTCTTTTGTAGCCAGAAGCACAATCCTGGCAAAACTGCCCCTTGTACCCAACAGGACATATACAATGTTCAACCCAGGGTGCTGGGGCTCCAGAGACAGGACGGGCCGAAATCAGGGTCACATTGTCAATATATCCAGTACCTGCAATAGAGAGAACAGGTTAGAAGAACCAAGTGGTAAGGCCTAAGTATCTGTAATCAGACCTCTGTTTGGATTTTATTTTTGTTAACTCCCTAATGGGTGGTACCCACACATCCAGCCCCATAGAAGGTACAGCTCACAGTCCACAAGGGGACTGAGCACACTTTCTCTGGAGTCAGGAAAATCAGCAGCACAACTCTGCCTCCATCCTCACAAACTATGTGAATTGCGCAAATCACTTAACTCTCTTCATGAATGTTTTTCTTCAACTGTAGAAGAGACACTGGTATTTCTCTCCTATACTTGTTGTGAGAATTAAAATGGTACAGTACATATTATAATGCACTGAGCACATTGTGCTAGTAAACACTTTTTCTAATTCCTGCTTTATTTGCTCCATTAGTGACATGGAGATGGTATGAGTGATAAAATTTTTAAGAAACTCTCCTTAAAAATTCCAATCCAAGCAATTTTTATTTCCTTCAAATAGTCAACATTAGTAGAAATTCAGAGATTCTTTTAGTGAGGTAGCACCATTCATTGTTCATTGGTGCTGACCCCTTTTTGGACAAATATTTCTTTTTTAAAACTTCTAGGACGTAAAAATTACTCTTAAGTGAAAACTATCAACTAATTTTTCTGTTTGTTTGGAGACCACAACCACCTTAGACAGCTGAAGCAAATTAAACTAAAACCCAAGAGGAGAACTTCATTTCTCCTACTCCCTTACTGTACTCTCCGTACGTAGCTCGAATCCGAAGGGCTGTGAGGTTCCGAAGTAACCTTCGATACTCAAAATAACTCAGCTGGGGGCTCCAGGTACTGCTTGGATGTTCATTTAATCTGTGCAATTTAAAATTAAAAAAAAATTAAAACCCAATCCAGATCACATTACTACCTGATACAAATTATACCTGAGAATGTGGGAACAGCTATGGCTCCTGGCTACCCTATTAAGAAGGGATGAAGGACTGGTACCTTCCTCCTCATAGGCACAGAGTTGGAGCTTTCTCTCCCAAAAGGAAGGCTTAAGCCCACAGACCTCATGGAGGCCATGCCAGAGTGGAAAGTCCAGCTCCACGGATCATGCCACCTCAGGTAATGTTAGTCCCAAGTCCTTTGACACCGCAATGTATCCTTGGCCATGCAGAATCTAATGTTAAAAACATCTGGAGTTCCAGTTCAGATCCTCAAGAGCTACCATTCATTTGGGGTTTGTTTTTGAAATGATTTATCATCTGAGCACATTTCACTTTGCAAAAAAGTTTCTATCTTCTACCTTGTCCACATCTAATACTTGTTAAAGTTCCTCATTTTGCCATTATCACTAGTCCTTGCACTATTCTTTTAAATTTTGTTTTGTTTTTTACTGAAAAATTGCTGCCAAGAACAACTCTACTCTTTTCATTTCATTTTATTAGAAGGTGACTGTGCTGGTGGCTTGAGCTGGAAGTTGTGTGATTCCTAGGGAAAGGCGATCAGTATGCAGCCAGAGGAGCTGGTGGACAAACAAGGAGTTCTAACACAACACAGTCAGTGCTATTACACATTCATGCACAGAATGCCACAGAGGCACCCAGGTGACTGTAATTTTCCTGGGATTCTGCAGCTAATCCAAAGGAAGAACATGTAAGCTGAATCTCAGAGTCAGTCCACCAAGCCAAGAAAGTGGGAATGGATATTCCAGGCAGAACAATGTGTGTACCCTCCAGTGATTATTCTCCAGTGGCTCACCTAGCCTCACATCTGACCATCATACTTCTCAATTTATAATCTCTCAGTGGCTTCCCATCATCTTTCTGGCATGGACAAGATCTAAGCATCTTGGAATGCTTTTTTTTTTTTTGGGGGGGGGTACTGGGGATCAAACTCAGGACCTTGCGCTTGCCAGGCAGGTAGCAGAACCACTGAGCTAAATCCCCAGCCCAATCTAAGCATCTTGGCATGGCATACAAGGCCTTTTCCAGTCTTTTCAATCTCATCTGCCCATTTCCCCTTTATATGCTGTGTTCCAACCACAAATATTGGTTCTCATCTATATTATGCCTTTCCACATTTCCACAGAAATTCAAATGTGGAAATTGTCCTCTGACCTTTCCTCCTAGATTTGCATCTGTCCATTCTCAGCCCACACGTTGCCTTCTTTCTAAAGCTTTCCTTGACTCCTCCAGGGAGAATTGGGCTCTTTTCAAGACCCCATGAACATGTTCCACTATAGAAGCAGTTTCCCCCATGCTTATTTTTTATGTGTTATATATCCCACTAGACTGTGAGCTCTTATAGGACAAATACCACGTTTCATCTTTCTTTCATCGCCTCTAATGAAATACTGAATACTTAGTAGGCACAGCTTCCTTCCCCAATCTCTCTGAACACACCATTCAAAATCCCCACTTTATAAGATCAGTCTCTGAAGATATAGACAAGGCCATTCCTGACTTCACTTCTCACTATATTCCTCTTCCCCACTTTCTGCTCTACTTATGTTCAACTACTGGGAGTTTCTTAAACCCACAAAACTCAAGCATCCCACTTCCTCTGCCTCATTAACATTACCCCCTTTTCTTTCCTTAGAGGCTGCTCTTCACACTTGTGGTGTCTTCTTGGGAAGCTTCCCTCCATCACTCAAATGCAAGTCAGTTGCGCCCATATGTATTCAAAACACCTGTGTCCACCCTCCCTCCATCACTTGACAATCTGCTCTGCTATCATCTGTTTATTTGCTCTCCCATTAGCCTGTCAGCTGCTCAAGGAGTAAGTAAAAGATGCTCAGAGAAGCGCACTGCAAGAATGAATCATGGCTAACAAATGAACGAAGGACTTGGACTTCAACCACAGTTTTCTCTATTTGTCCCACTTGTGATCTCTCTTTTTACCTGAATGTGTAAGTCTTGGTGATTCCACAGGGCAGTATCTTCCCACGTGGAATCAATGGGGCTGTGATCTGTAGACCAGCACCTTCCAGGATTACATCGTGAGCAGATGAGTGTCTGCCTCCCCTGTCCACACGATAGTCAAAAGACAGGCTTTGCCCATAGCTCACCTGCTGATTCCCAAGGAATCTGGCTATGAAATAGAATTTTTAAATGATCACTTGTGAAACTGAAAAGGCAAACACATGCCAGTTTGTATCAACGTGGGCTATTTCTGTTGGAATCTTATGTTACCCACCCACCCTCCTGCCCCAAACCGTCCTAGCAGAAGCATCAGTGCACAGCACTGGACAGGATTGCATCATTTTGGCTGTGAAGCAAGGTTAGTGACAGAAATGCTAAATTGGCCTCATTATAAGACAGATTGATCTGCTAGATGGGCCATAGCATGGCCCTTATGGCTGATATATAAAGATCCCAGGTAAGTTAGCAATCACACACATGTATATAATGCTTCATAATTTACAGAATACTTTCACAAACACCATCATATTTGATGGCAATAATTCTTGAAGTTTGGCATTTCCATTTAATTGTTGAGACATCTGAAGTTCAGAGAGGTTAATAGAATAACTTGCCAGGAAACTTTTATTGGCTAAAGATATCACCTAGGATTAAAAATCTAGCTAGAGGCCGGGGATTTGGCTTAGTGGTTCCGGCGCCTGCCGTGCAAGGGCAAGGTCCCGAGTTTGATCCCCGGTACCAAAAAACAAAAAAAAAATCTAGCTAGAGCTTTTCTAACCAGACACATATCATTGATATGTTTAGAGCTTTAAAAAATGCTTTGCTTTTGCTTTTCCATTTGCTTCTCAACAGATCCACATAATTCACAGTAGCTTTTGATTTCTTATCTCAGTAGGAACCTAGAAACTTTAATTAAAATAGGCACCCCAGCCAGGATCTGACCTCTGGGACATCCCCTTCTGTCCTAGAGTGCCATGTTGCAATGACTCCAGCTGACTCCTGGGGAAACTGCTGTCCTGAACACCAAGGTATTCGGATTTCACATTTTCTAACTCATTTTTTCTATCCTGACTTCCCAATCCCATAAATTGACTTCTATAAGAAAAATTATCCCTCACATACCAGGAGCTACAAAAAAGACAGGGTCTCTTCGGGCTGAGGTATACACGTTCCTGTAACGCTGTGACCAATGGAGCTTTGCAGAGGACCCATTTCTTTGCACAGCCTTCCAGCCATCAACATCTGGAACACAGATAAAACCACTCTGCATGAGAGACAAACCCACACAGATCCATAGAGCTGAACAAGGCCAGGCTTGTATGCCAAGAAGGTCTAGTGGTGAGTAGAAAGGGGGCTTTCTGTGTTTGCACATTTCTTTACAGTGTCCACAATTCCCCATGTGCTTCTCTACTTAGATGTCCACTCCCTTGCTCCCAGCCCACAGCTGCTTTCACTTCTCGTCTCTGGATGTGACTCTTACGATAAGAGAGCATGTTTTCATCTGCTTGTAATTTGGGTCTTTATTCTATTTACATAAACAAGGCCTGACCTTAGTGAGGTGAATGGCCCCAATATATTCAAACAGAAACTCAGACTAAATGAAATAATATCAATTTCCAATATTTTTATATTGTCCATAGCTTGGTAACTAATTTCAGATACATTAACTTATTTAATATATGTAAAAGCAGTGTTATTAGTGAGTGTGGATCCTAGGGGCACTCTCATAAACCCCCAAATCCAAATGAATCGTTCCTTTGTGTTTTTAAATATAATTTATTTATTTAGTTTGTTTCTTGTGGTACTAGGAAGTAAAACTGGGGCCTTGTGCATGCTGTGTCTCTGGCCCTTATTTAAAATTTGATTTTGAGACAAGCTCTTGCTAAACTGTCCAGGCTGGGCTTGAACTTGTGATGCTTCTAATTCAGCCTCTCAAGAACCTGTGATTATAGGTATGGGTCACTGCCCCTGGCTCTTTAGTGTCTTTAGTGTTTTTTGGTTGTTTTCTTCTAGTCCTGGGATTGACCCTAGGGCCTCACATAAACTAGGCAAGCTTTTTCTTTTGTGTTTTTGAAAGAGACATGAGAAAGAAATGAAGGGAGATAAAAAAAAACTAGCCTCTTCTCAGTTATTTTAAAAATCATTTATAGCCAAGGATTTAGCTCAGTGGTTCCGCCACCTGCCTTGCAAATGCAAGGTCCCGAGTTCGATCACCGTACCAAAAAAAAAAAAGAACTGAAAAAATCATTTATACACTGGTATGAATAAATTAGTCAGCTATAACTTTTTCAAGACACCTAAGAGATGGATGGTGTGGGGTGGAAGGAAAGAGAAAGAGGATGAAGAAAAGGAATTAAAGTGTATTATGTATATGTACCAATTCCTCACAAGGAATGTAAATATTATGTACTACAAATATGTACTAATTTTTTTTAGAAAAGAATACTTTACAGAATAAAAACTACAAGAGAATTGCCAAAGATGACTTGACCATCCATCCTGTAGATGGGGAGGTGGTTATAAGTGCAAGGCCCTCCCTGACACACTAAAAACAAAGCCCTAGAGAACAGAACACCGTACCTCGCTGGAAGGTAGAGGTGATCTTATGGACACTGTAGTCCGTAGAGCTGCGGCAGCTGGCTGAATGTCCATAGCAAAAACACTGGGTGCAACCCTCAGGATTTCCTGCATCCAGATGATAGTAACCAGGTCGACACCTGCAGCGATGTTTTAGAAATCAAGATAATACTACAGGTTATCACTTATTCCAACAGAGAAAACAATGACTGACTCGGCCTCTTTTTATTTTCTCTCTCACTCAGTCCTACTAATTTCCTGAGGAGGGAAGTGACAAGTTTCACACACCACCTCCACTGCCGTCCACCTGATGGTCCATCACAGTCCCACAAGTGAGAGCCATGAGGAAGGGTCATGGTCTCTCCCTCAGGGAGGCAGAACACTCTTGCCTTGGTGGTCTGGCAAGTCAGTGAAAATGATAATTATCATCCTTGATAATGGATGGAAGTCACCTGTTGGGGTAGGGAAGGGTGGGGCCAGGATGTGCAGAGCAGCCCCAATCTGGGGTAAAGGTTTATTTAAAAGTGGGGACCAGAAAAGGCAAGGCTCCTGTCTTAACACCACAGCTGATCCATAGGACCATTAGGTGTCGATCATCCCTGCACCTCATACCTGGGCTCTCGCCCATGGGAGAAAGGACAGAAAAGGATGGCTAGAGACACTCTAGAATAGCACAATGCACCTCTGCTCCCAACACAATCCCACCAGAAGCTTCCCTGAGGACTAATGCTAGGTGAGTCTTAGTAGTGGGGACAGCAGGGAAGATGGCAAGGATAGCTGGGGGAGACTGGTTTTATGTCTGTTCAAGTTAACTACCTCTTTGCACATGAAATAATGAGTTTCACTAATCATTTACTTAGCACTTACGTTGTGCCAGGCACATGTATACTCTCTTATTTAATCCTCCCTACAATCCTATGAGGTGGAAAGTGTTGTTTCCAGTTTTCCTAGATGAGGAGACCAGTGAGGTTAAGCAATTTGTCTGTGGTCATATTGGCAAGTGCTAAGGCAAGATTCACACTCATGTCCCTCTGCTTTCAAATTATGTAGTCTAAGCTTCTGGACCATCAAATACTGGGTTATGTTCATTGTGCATAGCACAGAAAAGCAGGTCAAAAGCACTGGTCTTTTTTTTTTTCATCTAAGAACAAGGGTTTAAAAAAATTCAATATGGTTTCTATGGAGAAGAAACCTAAAGATAAAAAGAGATTTAAAAATAAGGAAAGAAGGGGGCTGGGGATTTAGCTCAGTGGTTCCGGTGCCTGCCTTGCAAGCACAAGGTCCTGAGTTCGATCCCCAGTACCAAAAAAAAAAAAAAAATAAGGAAAGAAGGGAGGGAAAGACAGATGGAGGGATGGACGGAAGGGAAAGAATCAAGCAAAACTGACAGTATTTAGGAATGCACTGGGACAGGGGTGAGGAACCTATGGACATGTGCTGCAGCAGACTGTTTGTATCATTGAAAGCTCTGAAAGGTTCACCATCACTGCACTAGGATCACACATTATGAGCAAAAGCAAGGAAGTGATTGATTACCATAAAAGCAAGAAACATGGTAACTTCTAGGGACCCCTGATGTCACTGAGGTGGCAAAAATCAGAGGTAAGAAGTAGAGGTCTACTCCTTATTGATAATGATCACATTTGTTTTATGTAGCTTTCTATTTCATATTTTAAAATGTAAAAGGCTTGTAGCTAGTTCTCTTTACCCTCACCTCCGCAGCAAAGAATCCCCTAAAAACACAAGCTAGGAATGTATTTGCCTTTTCCTCCACCCAGGTAGGAATGATTGGCAGGGTGTCAAAGAACTGCTTTCTTACTTTTAAGGACACGAGGAGGAAGTTTTTATCTCTGGGGCCAACTTCACAGGCCCTCTGCTCACAGCAATCTCAGGGGGAAAAAGTTCAGTTCATGCAAAGCTTGTCCTTAAGTGACAAAGTTGTCGTGCAGTGACAACTAGGGGTGGATGGCTTCTTGCTGCTCCACCAGCCCCCACATAGCTCAAGCCCAAAGGGCTCATACGTCGTGCCCTGGATCGTGTGTGTGCATGTAGCCTCCATCCCATCCCTGGGGCGGCTCCTTTTCAGTGCATGATAGTTATACATGGCCTTACACAGTGATACTCCCTCGTATAAGGATCTTCCCAACACGTTTAATTAGGCCAGGCATTTCCCAAGACCAGCCTGAGTCATGTGCTCTCATTACTGCATACCACCTTGTGCCTGAGCACCTGGGACCTGGAGCCAGCTGGCAAGAGGCTCCCTGGGGCCCTCAGTCTCTGTCTTAGTAAAAACAAAGAGAAGGGACCCACAGCAGAATGTGGAGTGCAAGGATTTGGGGCGCTTGGTCACATTCTTTAAAGTCCAGTTTTTGAAGACAGAGAGCAGGAGGAAGGGCCTTTGCCATTTGTTCAGGATCCCCTTTCCTCAACTGTACTCAGAGGGTCAATTCCTGTGCCAGCTGCCAAGGCCTTCTCCCTGCCGTCTGCAGGGATGTGGCTCACAGACCTGTCACAGCGCTCTCCAGTGACAGCTGGTTTGCACACACAGTGGCCGGAGTCACAGGGCCCAGCAAGGCCAGCTGGGTCACAGTCACACTTGAAGGCTCTGGGAAAGAAGCAAAAGAAAATTAGGAATGGATTTCCAAATGCTTCGCAACAGTACACGCAGATTGACTGCTCATAAGCAAGCGTCACCAAGCTGAACAAGGCCTCCGTGTGTCTTCTCCTAGTGACACTCAGTCACGCTGATCTCTCCACACCCTTTGGGATTCAACTGTCTAAGCCAGTGCCACTCAGAGTGGTCTGTGGGTGGCAGCCAGCCCTTGAACTGTTTGCTATCCAGCCCCAACAAGAGCTTTGTGCCAGAAGGTAAACTAAGTTCATTATTAAACTGTTTAGCTTAGTTTGGTCAACTGTTTGGATGATTTTTTAAAAAGATTTATTTGTTTCTATATTGATGTCTACTTTTATTATAATCGATCCCACCTACCTGCTATTTTAGTTTGTTAAGTTCTTTCTTTTAGTGACAGCTCCACTGAAATATAATTCATATGCTATGGAATTCACTCATGTAAAGCAAATACTTCAATGGTTTTTAGTCAGATTTATACAACCATCACTACAAATGTCAATTTTTGCACACTTTTGTCTTGTATTCTTTAGTAGTCATCCTCAGCCCCATTTCCTCCCTGCAGCCCTACTCCCAGCCCTAGGCAGCCGCTGGTCTACTTCCCAACTATAAGTTTTCCTATCCTGGACATTGCCTTCAAACGAAACCCTATCATCTGTGGTCTGTTGTAATTAGCTCCTTTCATTTAGTATAGTACTTTCAAGGTTCACCTCTGCTGTGCCATGTGTCACAATGTGTATTCTGTGGGCTGAATAAAATTCCACTGTATGAATATGCATATTTTATTTATCCATTCATCAGGTGATAAATATTTTGGTTGTTTTCATTTTTTCGCTATTATGAACAATGCTTCCATGAGCATTTGCATATAAGTTGTACAAATATATACATGTTCATTTCTCTTGGATATATATACCTAGGAGTGAAACTGCTGAATTTGAGTGGCTTTTATTTTGTTTTACCACCAAGACTCTCAGTGGAGGTATCAATGCTTTCATGTGACTCTGGCACAATTTCCCCATCTACTGATCAGCACTGACCTCTGTCACTCATTATGGCCACAATAACATAACTATCTCATCCGTCTAAAGCTAAGATCTATTTCCTTTTCCTTACTGATTTCCTTTCCTTACTCTTTGACTCCATCCAAATTCTGCCCAACCCTGGAGCCTCCTTGACCCCTTCCTCTCCTGCACATTCCCCATCTAATCAGATCCTAGGTTCCCTCAGGCTCACAGTCACCACCAGAATTCCTTTCCAGTCTGCATGGTCTCCTCCTTATCTCAGCTCCCTCCATACCACATATCTGGACCATTCAACAAGTACACACTCAGCATCTACTGTGGGCTAAGAACCAATGATATTGTTGGTGTGGTTCTATAAATGACTCTGCTCTGTGTGTACTTTGATTTTATAACTTGTAATCTTTTGTTTACAATGAGGGGTTTTCTGTAACTTGTTTTAATTTACAACTTCGGTAGCAATAGAACTTTGGATACATTTTTGTATGGTACATGTGATATATATAGAATTACTACTTTATTTTTATTTTTAAGAAGTAAAACATTATGCTAGGGGGTAAAAGTAGGGTGAGTTTCCAAATTTGCAGTTTTTATATTAAAAATAAAGTCAATATTTGGATAAAAATAAAAAGAACCAAGGATACTGAAAGAAACAGAACTTGGCCCCTTCTCTTGGGTCTCAGGCAGGGCAAATGTGTGAAGAGCAATGGTGAAGTGCTGCATGGCTTTGTGCCAGGAAGTGTGTTCCAGGTGGGCCACAGCCACATATACTTGGCTGTCTTGAAGGACAGGTAGGCTGCTGTGGCTGGAGTGGGGAGCCAGGATAGTGGTGAGAAACAGAGCAGAGCCTTGGCTCCCTGGAGAGGGAGGAGCACCCTGCAGGGTCCCACAGGCCTTCCTAAAAAGTCCCCATCTCATTCTGGGTAGGAAGGGGTTGTCCTCCGTCCTGGAGGGATGTGATGTGGTCCACTCTGCATTTTAAATAGTTACAAAGGACAGTTCCTGGGAATATCGCTTAAGGGTATAGCACTTGCCTAGCATGCCCGAGGTCTAGGGTTCAATTTCAGCATCAAAAAAAAAAAAAGAAGTTGCAAAAATGAGGGTTGGGCCCAAGAGAAGGTGTCTGAAGATTATCTGAAAGGCACAGCTAGGTCTAGATAAAGAACAGTCTATGCAAAGGTCCAAGGGTAAGAGAACTTGAGACAAGGATCCAAGACCAGGAGAGTGCAAGTCTAGCCAGGGGCAGTCCCCATTTGGGTTAGGGCTGAAAATGTGGTCAGTGGGGATGCGCTGTCACTGAACCAGGCCCATTGTTAAGCCTTTTTTCCCTGGAGTCTACCTAATATTGTGGCCATGTAGTATTACAAGGGAGGAAAAATGTTACCCTTTTTCCTTCCCATGAATTCATAGCCAAAAGTCACCCAATTTTAGAGAACACCATTCAAAGGGGAGGGAATTAATATTTCCCTTTGTTTCAAAATGTAGGCAGGGCTAGTCAGAGGTATATAGGTTCTTATTTTCTAAATGACCAAAATGACAATCCCATCCCTTAGGGTTGGTGTGAGGATTAAATTAGATGACCCATGTAAAGTACTCAAAACAATGTGGGGCACACCACAGGTGCTTGGTATAGGAGGGGGATTGCCAGTGTTAATATAATTGTCCTTTCTCCTGTTAGCGACAGCAATGGTGGGATCTGCATGCTCACAGTCGTCTTTGGTCTTGGGTGCATCCAGCATCAGTGAGCATGTGGAAGCCTGGCAGACACTGGTCACACTTGTCTCCTGTCACACCTGGCTTACAGCTGCACCGTCCAGAGTTGTCACACTGAGGACTGAGAGAACCTAAAACCCACAAGGTGGGGGAGAGAGAGAAGAAAATACTTACAAGGCACGAGGAAGCAATGTCCCCCTATGGGAACTCAATACACATTAAGCAATATACACCACCACTGCCTTTAACAGTTCACATCATCTGAGTATGTTTCCACCAGTAGAGAAAATTTTGACAGCTGAACATGTCTGCTTCATGAAAAGAAACGAAATCATTCATAAAAGCATTTTTTATTTACATCTTCTCTGATCTTTTTAGTATTTTTTTTTTTTTTTTTGGCAGTACTGGGGATTGAACCCAGCATCTTTGCACTGAGCTACATCCTAAGCCTTTTATTTTACTTGATTTTTATATTGTGAGTAAGGGTCTTGCTCAGTCACCAAGCTGCCTAGGCTGGACATGAATTTGTGATCCTTTTGCCTCGGCCTCCCAGAGTGCAGGGATCACAGGTCTGTGCCACGACACCCAGCTAAATTTAACATTAGGGAGCATGAGACTATTGCTTTATGAATGAAGTCTATCAAGTCTTGAGATGTCAAGAAAGAGAAAATCTGTAAATGAACACATCTACCTCCCAGGACAGCAATGTTCTCCTTTATCTCTGGCAGACAAAACCCCTCTTTGGGGGGGTCAGTGCTTGCATGGCATGATGTTGTAAGAGCACAAAAGGCCTCCTAACCAAAAATGTCTCCACGTGCCAGGGGTGGCGGAAAGTCTCACTCATGAAGCATCCCCCCCGCCATGGCTGGCCTGGTTAGTGCCCTGGGGTACTCGTCTCACCATTCCGTTTGTCATACATGTTCTTTGTCCTCTCAGATTGAATGTTGATGACAAACAAGAAGAGCTCAGGGTAATAGAATGTGCCACTGTGGGATATGACCACTTCTCACTTCTTGCCTTTCTAACACCCAAGTCCAAGCCTCCCCTTCTCTCATCTGTACCCTGTCTGAATTCTTCCCCTGCCACCTCCATTTTGGCCTTTCCATGCTCCAGTTTCCACACAGAAGCCAGAGTGTGCTTCCAAAAAGTAATTCAGATCATTTTGCTTAGGTCCTGTGGTGGCTCCCACTGTAAGCACAATTAAGTGTAGGCTCCATAGCCTGGCTGCAAAATCCAACCTCTCCTAGCACATCTCCCACCCTTGTTCACTAAGTTCCAGGACCCTAGCTCCCCTCCCTGTTCCTGGAAGGTGCTAAGCTGCTTCCCTCTGGGTGTCTGCACCTGCTGCTCCTTCGATCTGGTGTGCTCTTTCCCCAAATTTTCCCTAGTTGGCCCATTGCCCATTGCCTAGTTGGCAGCACACAGATGAGATTATGTGTTACTTTCTAGAGACATCTTCCCTGACTGACATGTCTGAGACATCTGTTCAACTCCTGCTCAGTTCTTGGCCATCTCTGCTCATATTACCTGCTGGATGCCAGAGCCCAGCACAGTGCTTAACACAGAATAAGCACCCAGAAATCAGCTGGATTCATACGGATATGCCAAGGAAGAGGTGGGGCTATTGTGAAGGAAGCTGCAAGAGAGAGTCAAAAGATGAAATAGAAGGTGGGTAAATGAGGTGGAAGGCTAGCTAAGTACACCACGGGTCCTTTATAATTTCCCTGAAGCTGGCAGAATTGTAAAGTAATCCATATCCCTCAAATATCTATGATAATTAGGCCAGCCATAATATATAAAGCCAAGGGAACACTAACCAGTAATTACATTTGTTTTTTCGATTTATTATTTTTCTGTTAACTTCTTTTTTTTTTTTTTTCTCAAAACAGGCTGGATTCAATTTTCTGTTAGCCTCTAATTCACTAGCAAATAGAAGCCAATAAAGGCATTGGTTCTATGTCTACATAAAGGCTTATATGCAGTATCTGAAATATGGAATAAATCAGTCACATGTGTAAATATCTCCATGTCAACTTTACAAGGCTTTAAAAGACCCTTAGTGATAATGGTACAAATTATATTTTTTGTTTTTTGGGTTTTTTTTTTTTTTTTGGTACCGGGGATCAAAACCAGGTCCTTGTGCTTGTGCAGCTGGCAGCGAAACTACTGAGCTAAATCCCTAGCCCACAAATTATATTTTTTGAGCACCTACTAGATGTAAGAGGTTGAGTTAAGCACTATTGGTGCATGCTATCTAGTAATGAATTAAAAATTCACAGCTGGTTGGGCTGAGAATGTAGCTCACTAGGAAAGTACTTGCCTAGCATGTACAAGGGCTTAAGTTCATTCCTCCGCACTGAAATAAAAGTTCACACTGGATAACAGATCCATTTCAGAATAGAGAGCTCTCTGAGGTGTGGGCAGGAAGTTCAGAAAGACAACTCTAGGGCACTCTGCAAGAGCAAGGCCAGCATGCATCATCCCACACCACGAAGGCCTGGATTCATGGAGGCTGAGGAGGAGAGGAAGGAGGCACTGTGAGAGTCACTGTGGATGCGAATATAGACTTAGGACACTCTTGGGGTATGGATGATGAGGGAATGAGGGAGACAGGATCAGCTGGTGACACCTAGGTCCCTAGGGTGCACACGCAGCTGTGATTTTATGGCAAAGGAGGGACAGAAGCTCAAGATGAATCACTGACAAAAGGGAATGTGTTGAATTTTGAACTTGGCTTGCTACTGGTGTATCCAGGTAGAAATGTTCATCTGGAGGACAATAAAGAGGCTGGGATGGAGAGGTAGGAACCCTCAGCACCCAGGCTGAACAGGAAGTTATAGCGAGCATGAGATCATGCCAGGAACCTTGTGTATTAAGGGATGGGGTGATCAGAGATGAGGAAGTCCCAGAACAGAGTCCAGCTGAGATGGGAAGGAAGAGAGGCTGTTGGGTTTGCACTTGAAGGTGGCCATACTCTATAAATGGTCAGTAAACAGAGCTAAGAAGGAAAATTCCTTTCTGAATACTCTGAAAGAAGTATAAAATTTGGACTTAGGCACACATTTTTCCTTTCAAATTAATGGTAATTATGCTTTCAATTTTTTTTTTTTTTAAAAAAACTCTCTGCAATAGTTTTCAGAGCTGAATTGCCCTTATGAAATGGGAAAGACTGAACTTTGTTCTGGGTTTGGACCAAATTGCCCAAAATGGTATTCTACAAAACACTCTTCTGAGAAGTATTAACTGTCATCCCATGAAAATGAGTACTCTGTGTTCAAAAGAGTTTGAGAAATGGTACATACTAAATCTTTCAGAAATTTATAGCATGATACATTCAGTAGGCAAAAGCTTATTTAACTTTTTAATGCCAGTGTTTCTCAACATTATTTAACACTGTAAGGCAATACCTAATGCTAGCTTGAGGGACATAATGTTCTATAGTATACAAAAATTCTTTGAAAAAGTATAAAGCCTTAGTCAGATCTTAGGAAATAATATCCATGAACATTTTCATGGACACTCGATTGTCTGCCTTTGGGATTAAAGGACAGCATTCTCTTTTTTTTCAATTTTTTTGTTGGTACTAGCAATTGAACCCAGGGGAACCCTACCACTGAATTATAGCCCCAGCTCTTTTTATTTTTTATATTGAGACATGCTCCCACTAAGTTGACCAGGCTGGTCTAGAATTTACAATAATCCTGCTTTAGTCTCTTGAGTAGCTGGGGTTACAGGCATGTACCACCATGCTTCGTCCTATGGGACAGCATCTTATTTTTTTCCTTTCATACAGTGATAACAAGAAGGAACTGTTCCAGACAGAAGTCTTGGCTTATAATGTTAGTTCTTGCAATCACCTGCTGAGAGATTTTAGGCGACTTATTAACTTTCTAGGTGTTTCCCCATTGTTGAAAAATATTTTAAAAATTCACTGCCAACTAGGGGATGTTAAAAAGTAAAAATGTAAATAGTTTTAGACCAATGTGTGGCCTCTACAAGACTTCCTTCATACTGGAATGTAATTTAAAGGGACCCTGACTTTCACCTTAATAAGAACAACTACCATTTACATAGTTGTCTACTATGTGCTTAACAGACATCATTTTATCTCTGCAGTATACTGTGATGTAAATGTCCTTGTCACCCTTTTCAGGTGAGGACACTGGGAGAAGTTAGAGAACATGTGACCCAGTTGCAGTATTGGTAGCAAGATGTGAACTAGGGCCGTTGGGCTCCAAGCCCACCACTCTGTTCTACATGATGATTTTTCTTTTGTACCAGGGATCGAACTTGGGTCCTTGTGCCTTCGAAGCAGGTGGCGGAACCACTGAGCTAAATCCCCGGCCCTACATGATGACTTTGATGTCAGCAGACCTTGCCTCCAACCCTTGCTCTGTCCCTGAGCTCTACAACGTTGGACAGATTGCTTTCTCTCCCTCTATAAACCTATCCTCATTTGTACAATGGAAAAAATAATAAAATTATCTGTGCTGGTTAATTAATAACTGGATAAAAAGCTCCTGGAAAAGGCTTGGCACATAACATGTTAGCTGGCACATAAGATCCAAGTCATCATTGATTGGATCCATTACTTCCTGCCAGGCTGTTCATCCTGAATCTTGGATGCCTAATCTCCATAGAAAAAGGAAGATCCAGGCTCCTCGTGGCCAAATGAGGAGGAGACTATAGCACACTGGGAAAGAGAAGATGGCAAATCCTTCTCCACTCTCTTGTTTTTGCTAGGTAGCAGGTTCCTTGTCTCCCCTGGAATTATAAGCTTATCTTCAGGTCAAGCTTTTCCATGGAGCCAACCAGATCTCTAATTACACTCTGCCGGGATGATCCAACTCCAGTGATTCACAGTGACACTGCATATTCTAAGGGGATCTGGGCTTCTCAGAGAGGTTAAATACCCATAAAAATGGATTAACTTTTCTTTTAATTTTCTTCATGAAGTTCTTTGATAAGGAGAACTTATCAAAAAAAATCCAAAAGATACTGGATGCAGATTCTATACCATAAAATTAAGCAAATTTGACCCCAAACACATTGTAACAGCAATCCAATTAACTTGGCACTGACTACTTGGATACAGGTCTATAGATATAGATATATCACTACAAATTACTCCAGTTTCCTATAAGGATCCTGCCATACCCATTCAGCTGCACCAAAATCTGCCCGTGTTTCCAGTCTTTGAGCTACAATTACATCTTGCCTCCACAGAGCCACGGGTATACCCATTATGGATTAGTATTTATCATATTATGCTGTTAAATCCTTTCTGGCAGAGGAAAGTAGATAATACCAAAAAAAAGATAAAAGACAAAGAAGGCAGTCAAAAAACTCATACACAGAACTACCCACCTCTCCCTGATAATATTTACTAACGTGCTTTGACTGTCCGCCCGTGATGAATACAACACATGCCTGCATCCACGAACAAAGCAAACACCCACAGTTCTGTGGCTAGAGCCCTGGGCAGGACACTAAAAAAAAAAAAAACTACTAGGTCTCCTGTGAGCCTGCCACACCTTAGGTGCTTTCTACTGGTTATTTTCTTTTCTCTGCTCACACCCTGTGAAAGGTTCTAATCCTTTTTTTTTCCTCTCTTGTCTCTTTTATTGGTACCACTTCATATTGCCAGCACCTAGTATAGTACCAGAGATAGATCTTTGAAATCCCTATTTTCCAAGATGTTGGCCAAAGAGACGATTATGGATATGAGGAACTAGCCATGGAACAGAGCAAGCTTCCTTTGTCCCTGGGCTCATAGACTATCATCTGCCTTGGCAAAGTTAATCACAGGACTCACAGTAACTAAGATGCCCAAATGACCCCAGCTGCTTCCACCAAAGTCAGAGAATCACATTCTTTTCCGGAGTGAAATTGCTACAAAGGCCAATGATGGTGGGTTCTCAGTTGCTCCTGAAGCTGAACATCTCCCTCTTGCTTACTTGCTCCCTACCTTCCTCTTTTCTCTTCCTCCTTCTTTTCCTCTTCTCTACCCATTAGTCCTTCCTTCTTGCTCTTTCTTCTCCCCCACACCCATCCGCTACCTTTGGAGTGACAGTTGCAGGGCAGGCAGTGATCTCTGTCTTGGTGCCAGTAAAAGCCCTCCCTGCACCTCTCACAGTGCAGACCATCAGTGTTGTCCTTGCAGTTGAGGCATCGGAGCCCATTGCCTGTCCTCCAGTGAAGCTCCTCCTCAAAGATGCACTGGTTGGACTTCCCATTGCAATCACAGACTAGGGAGAGAGAAAGAGAAGGCACTGTCAGAAAAAAGCAACCAGAAACATCCTCCCAGGTGATTTAATTATTATGAATATGAATATAAGCTGTGTATTGGGTGCCAAATGTTAATTTAAACTGCTCGATGGATGACTGAAAGGGAACAAAGAAGACCACTGGTGACCTAGAGAAACAGCTATTCCACAGAGATGGCGGATTGCTGCTGAACAACATGACTTCAGCATTGCCAGCTGTCCAATTCCTTAATAGAAACAAAATATTTTAAATGATTTGTTTTTATGTGAAAATTTATGATTTAAATACCTGCAAGGAATTCATTTGAAAACCCAGTGCAAACCAACAGAACAAGTCTACCAGGCTAGGAGAAGACCTGAGGACTGCCAGCCGTGAGCTCGGGCCCAATTGTCATGACCGATAGTGTCCACTGCTTAGGATACACAGTGCCACCCCCCACCCCCAGTGATGGTCAGGCCTGAGGAGCTGAGACGATGGACAGGTATCTCTTCCTCTCTGTACTTGTGCCTTGAATGTTCCTCCGAAAGCCAGGTGTCAAGGAGAACCATGACCTGGTGTCAAGATCCCATGAAGAATGAACTTCCCCAGGTCTTTAGGAAAGTTCATCCTTCAAATATTCCAAAGATACTTGTGGGGTAACTAACATCTCATGAGGTCCTGAACAGCCAGTGAGGTAACAAATGGAAATACTTCACACAGCACCAGGTACACAGGAGACACTCAAAAATTTTCAGTCACAATTTAAAAGAGAAAGATGATGCCCTTAGGTTAAAAGAATTAGTCCAATACTGCTTTTCCCTTGGGCAAGCCACTCTGACTTTCTGAACCTTGCTCCTCCTCCTCCTCCTCCTCCTCCTCCTCCAAATATATAGCACACTATCTACTTCCCTGCATCGTTAAGAGGATCTCACTGAGAAAAGAATACCCAGTGTCTCTGTGTGTTCTACCACACCCCTCCCTCTCAGGAGACAGACGTCACTTTGGGTGGGAAAAAGGAAGCCAAGAGGTTAACTTGACCTGCTGGACACTTGGGGTTTGAACAGCTGTTTGATGTCAAGGCCTGCCTTCATTTCGTCATGCACACTGTCTCCAGTGACCACACTGCCATAACAACAGCTTGTTTCTAGAGTGCCCAGGGGGCTGACCGTAAAGCCAGCAAGTGTGCCCCACGTCCTGAGCAGCTGCCCCGTGTAGTCCTGTACCACACTCAGAAGAAACACAGGTGAGGAAGTAGATTTTGTGAACTTCCTAAGTGCTGCCTTAGAGCAATTTCTGCTGCTTTAGAGACCAACAAGGAAAGTTGGTAAGATCTGTGCAGAGCACACTCAGATTCTGGGACTTCACATTCATCAGCTCAGTTAATTCTCACATTTTAGCATCAGTATATTTATCGTCACTTAGTGGATGGAAAATGAATACTTAGAGAGGGTAGGAATCTAGTCTAACTTCACATAACTGAATGGCAAAGATATAATTTTCTCTGAGGTCTGTCTGACTCCAAAGCCTTCATCTTTCCATCTTACCCTAGTTCTCAAGAATCTGGGTTAACACTGAATGCAGGTATTCTTTCTATAAATCTTTTTTTTTTTTTTTGGTACAGGGGATTGAACTCAGGACCTTGAGCTTCCAAGGCAGACGCTGGAACCACTGAACTAAATCCCCAGCCCTATAAATCTTTAGTAGAGGTTCCTTTGGCCTTTTCTTGACTCCTTCCTCATGTAGTAGAATGTGCTACCCCTCCTCAGACAGCACTGGTATCACAGATCATTTTTATGGAGTTTTAAATCTACTTCTATCCCTGTGATTTAAACACACACATGCGCGTGCACACACACACACACATTACACACACTTCTTTTTTCATTCATTCATTTATCCAACAGACGTAAACTTCAGCTGTCTTACCAGGTCCCTGATCAATAAATCCTCTAAACATCTGAAGACAACCACAGCATCTCCCTCCTTAGTTTTTTCTTCTTTGGGTTAAATTGGAGACTGACACCTCCAGGTCTTTCAACCATTTCTTATATCATGATTTTTCGAGTCTTCTCAACTACCTTCTTAGCAATATACTCTAATTTTCAATACTTTTGTTCGTACAGTACTTCCAGTATAGTTTGAACAGCTCTGCGTATAACAGGACTAGATAGCTCCACAGATGGAGACTAACATTTCATTAAACTTACAGCATATTAAACTTGCACTCAATTCAAACTACCAGGGCTTCTTCACAGAACTGGTGCCAAGCTGAATCTTTCCCAACTACTGCTTGTGAAACTGATTTTTTTTTGGCTCTCCAACAGTTGTACCACACAGCTGCCATGAGCTATGAAATGTCTACTGAGTACAAGATTATGCCTGTCACGAGGCCTAAATGCACCAGCCAGCAGTCCTTGTGAGGTTCTTCAGCTGATCACCCAGTGAACCAGTGCTCACCCTGCCCTGATACTGGCTAGGAGCAGTCTCAAAAATATCTATGCACTTTTCATGTAACTTTCCAATTCAGAACATACATTTTGCTGGTAATAGTTAACTTCATAAAGACAGCTCATGACACATTTATTCACAGGAATAATTTTTTTTTTTTGAGACAGGGTCTTGCTATCCAGTTCAGGCTGGCCTTGAACTCACAATGTAGCCCAGACTGGCCTTGAACTCATGGCGATCCTCATGCCTCAGCTTCCTAAGTACTGAGATTATAGGCATGCACCACCATGCCTGGCCTCACAGCAATATTTTTTAAATAGACAAACTTGTTATCTTTATATACCACCTCCCTCTTCTGTCCTTTCTCCTCTAAACCTCTACTTTGAAAAAAAATGAATGTTTTTCCTTTAAAGTCAGTCTTCATTGGAGTTGCATTACATTCCAGTAAGGGAGATTCTTAGCCAGCAACTCCTCTCCAGAACTTGCCCAGCAGGTTACAGAGTCATTGCCAAATGACCCCTCTCTGTAAATGGGTCTCCCTTGAAGCCAAGAGCTATGCTGGCCAGATGAGGACATGTGTGCGTCTACTGGCCATGGATGTCTGCATTACATTAAAACTCCATGAAGATGCTCTCGCTCACCTTGCCTGCAGGACTTTACAATCACCAAGCTCTGCTGGGCTCGCACACTTACTGCACTCAGCTCCACATTGAACCTGCCAAATATGCATATGCAAAGATGGGGGAATAACTCATCACTGAGCCAGGCATGGTGGCACACACCTGTAGTCCCAGCCCTCTGGGAGGCTGAGGCAAGAGGATCACAAGTCAAGCCCAGCATAGAGAACTTAGTGACATAGTGAGGCCATGTCTCAAAATCAAAATTAAAAGCATTTAAAAAGGGCTGCAAATGTAGTTCAGTGTGAAGGCCTTGGGTTCAATCCCTAGCACCACAAAATTAATTAATTAATCTGTTGATTAACTCACCATTGATGTACAATATATTTGAAATATAGTCTCTCAAATCATCTCCCAAATTTACACTAAATTCCTTAAACCAGGTATTATTCATTTTTAAAGTAAAAGCTTTTATATTTTAAATTCTAGAATATTCCTACAATTGTGCTTAATAAAATGGGCATAGCACAGCTTGTGTGTGGTCTTTTTTACTCTGGGACCAATTCCTGCCCAACTGCTACTGGTTGCCAAATGGCAGCATCCAGAGAGGAGTAAGACAACAGGGAGCCACAGGGCTGAAGGGGAGGAAGCTGCTCCAGCCAACGGCAAGCCACACAAAACTGATGTCCACTGTGTTCAGTGTTTCCATTAATTTTTTTCAAAGATGGAAATCTGGGTTTTTGTATAAAATCTACTGATTTTTAACGTTGGCCAAAACTTTTTTGTATTTCCTTTTTGAAACAAAGCTATGTCCTAGGGCAAATCTCTATACTTAACTCTGCACTTCTAACAGGTAGAAAACACATCTCGTGCTTAAGAAAATAGAAGCAGTGACTTAGTATACTGCAAGTACCTAGTCCATGGTAGCTATTTAGTGGTGTATAGTTTGTTTTGTGGTGCTGGGAATGGAACTTAGGGCCTTCACATTGAGCTACATCCCCAGCCCGCCTTTTTTTCTTTCCTTCTCTCTTTCTTTCTCTTTCTTTCTTTCTTTCTTTCTTTCTTTCTTCCTTCCTTTCTTTCTCTCTTTCATTCTCTCTCTCTCTTATTTTTTTTTTTATTTTTTTGGTACCTGGGATTGAACTCAGGACCTTGTGCTTGCGAGGCAGTTGCAGTGCCACTGAGCTAAATCCCCGCTGCCCCCCTTATTTTTAAAAATTTATTTATTTTTGAAACAGTCTTGAATTTGCAATCCTCCTGCCTCAGCCTCCTGGAGTGCTAGGATTACAGGCATGCGCCACCAGGCCTAGCTTATTTAATTTTTTTCAATGTACAAAGGATGTTCTTCTGAACTTGAGGAAACCCACAGATGTGTTTCTGTCACTTAAAGGATACCACATGTCTCCACATATTCAGACATGCCTTGAAAATGGCAAATACAAATTGTGAACAGGCACTCTCTTCCCTATTCCTCAATGACATGCTTTTCTCCACAGGATCCCAGCTCAAAATTTATTTTTGAGTAACTTATAATTTATTAAGATTAATAGCCCTAAATGCAAACCCATAAAAGATTTTAAAATGAGGAAATTCTAAAAATGTCTTTATTATACTTGTGTTTCTTTATGTTTAGATATGTTTGCTTTCTGTCTAGAAATTCTGAGAGATTACTTTTATCATGTAAACTTCTTGTTATTCTTCCAAATTCTGGGCCAGCTGCAAATTCCATAAATATGCTGTCTAGTTTTATGAAGGGGGCCTCGGCACAAATTTAAGTGACAGAAGTACAAAGATGAGGGTCTGGGACATTCCCAGAGTCAGCTGTAAGCCATTTCCCAGCAGCCCTCTCACTCACCCATCCATTCAACAAATAGGCATTGAACATCTACTGTGTGCTAGGCCCCATTCTAAGTACTGGCTACAGCAGTATTCTAAGG